TAAGTTTGTTTTTTTAAAGGTCAGTGCTAATAATAGCAAATAGTCCAAGAGGCATTTCTATTTGACTTTTGAATGCATATTTACTTAATTTAATTATTTGGTTAGATATTTGATTTTGTTACTATTGCATTGTTTAGAGTTGATAGTGGGAGGAATTGTCTGGGACAAAATAAGAAACAACACGGATGGGCATTTTGTTTAAAAATAACTTTAATGGAATTACCTTTTGGCAGTGTAGATGGGCAAGCTTTGACTAGAAATTTAGAGATAATAGTTTACATTCTGTCCCTTTTACATCAAAATAATCCATTTTCCTAATCATTTCATCTAAATAAAAAATATTTTACATCAGCATTTATTTTATGTGTTTATAAATGTTTTACATCAGCATTTATTTTATAATGCATTATTTAATTTTATTAACCCATAATGTTCCTGTCAAATGGCTTAATTTTATTCTTTAATCTACAGATGACAATACCAATAGGTGGTGACATTTTCAAGACTGCGTAGCATCTTTATGGTATAACTGAAATTTAAATATAAGAAATTTGAATGTAGGAAATTTAAATATAGGAGATCTGTGGTTTGAAATCAGGTCATACATTTGGTTATACATTTATTTATATGATTACTCAAATGAAAAAAAAATGTTCTTTATAACCAGTTGGCATTAGAGCTTAGTTAGATAGCCATACTTGAAATTTACATTTTCTAATCAAGATTATCCATATGAACAAAATATTAACTGTTATTCAGAATTTAAATGAATCCTTTCCTACTTTTCTACCCAAGATGTTTTATACTTATGTGTTTGGTCTGCATTTTTATACACAATGGAAGTAGTAGTGATTAAGAGGAATACTGGACAAATCAGTAAGTGATAATTAGCACAGTTCACAATCTTAGGATTTAAACCTGAGCCAGGGGATTGGTTCTGTGTTTGTTTGTTGTTATTGTTTTACTCCAACAGCTCTCTTTATCGCCTATCATATGTAGAGAAAGATAAATAGCCTGGGTAAATTGAACTGGGGATTAGAACTGTGGAAGAAGGCCCAGAAAAGGGTGGAGGAAATGGCTGATAAGGAGTCAATTTAGGGGATGATATGAACTGGTAGACTAAAGATGAAGTCCCACATTCAGGTCCCAGCTATAGAGGCATTTGAATTACCTGGTGATTACCTGTACAGGGGAAAAGCCTGTTACTCTAGAATTTAGTCTTTTAAAATGCAAAAATAAAAATTAAAAATGCAGATATTACATAAAGACAGCATTGTCTTTTAAAGGAGAAATAATTTCAGTCTACATTGAATTGATCTACTTTATTTTTTTATTTTCAGAAGGATAAAAAAGAGCAGACTTTTTATTCTTTAAAGCAAGCTGATAAATTTTGATGTCCTGAATTTTTAATATCTCATCCAAAAAGTTAATTATGGACTGGATTGTGCAACGTTGTGCTAGATTTCCTTTTTTCCTTAGACTTTCAAATAGGAAGGCAAGAAAAATACAATTTGTCATGACTCAAATAAATTAAAAATGACCTTCTATATGAACAATATCTACTAAAAATGTTTACAAATCTTGGTAGTGTTTGAATTTTACCAGCAATGAAAGTTAATGCAAAGCTTCAGCATGCTAATTGCATAATTGTTTTTAAAAATAGTAAAAGGTTCAGCAAAGAATAATGCATTACTATCAAAAGAGCATTGTTAAATTATGTACTCTTAGGTGAAAATTTTACTGTAATTTAGGAGAACTCAGGAAAATGAGGTTTGGTGAGTTTAGTACATATAATCAATAAAGGTGAAAGATATTTTGGTCCTTTACATACTCTCCATAAAATCTTTCTAACTAAGTCAACTTACAGATACTGTATTGCTTCAAAATGAATTAATTCTTCAAAAGGACAGTACATAATCACCTTCAGAACACAGTATGAATTGCGCTAAGCAAGGTGTGCTTCCAGTTACATTCACAAAGCTTCAGATAGTCTGCTCATCTGAAAGTATCTAAAATTTCAAGGTTATTACTTTGCCACACACATTGGTTTGGATGTCTGTTCTGAGGATTTTCATTATACTCTTTCAGTATCTAACAGGCTCTTCAACACATTTCAAATCAAGTTTACCCCCTTATTTAAACATGCTAGAAGTTTAGTAACTGCTTAAATATTAGTAATTAATCTACTCTAGGGTGAAAGTCATGTTCTAATACTGATGATGGGCTGTTAGCTCTATCACAATTCTGTGTCCTGTTACAGTAAATGAGAGAAGTGGGAAAATATTTGCAGAAGAAAAGTGCTTGGAGGAGCACAGGTCTCATTCAGCAGTCTTTGCAGTGTGTGCATCTAGCCCTGAAAAGTGTCTTTGCAAGTAACTAAAGAACTATGCATTCTTTCTATATATAAAAAAATATATTATTTGGGCTAGAAACAGTGTTGATAGCTTTGCTTCTTGATTCTTCTTTGTAAAGGATAGTAGCCATATCAACAAAGCATTTTTCTCAGGTAACAGCTTTTCTAGTTCTCAGAGAATATAATTTATCCTAATAGGAATGTTGGAGAATTAGTTGTCCTGTGACAATTGCTGATCTACAGTGTCAAGATTCTGTGATGCAGATAGCTTTATATGAGGAATTTTTTCTGATCTATGATGACTTTGGGATTAGTTTTGCTCCAGAAGGTTCAAATTTATGGAACATGTGAGGCCTGTGACTTTCTGGGTAGAACTGTTCTTTAGTTAAGAATCACTGACTATACTAAAGTCAGTTTGTGACTATAGAGATTATTTATTTTCTCCTTCAGTGACAATTGAATTTTTTCGACTTACCATAACCAAGCTAAAAGGTATGAAAAAGAATCACTAATTTTTTAAAAAGAAATGTTTCTTAAAATTGTCATGTAAAATTATGTTGAATTTTGTTGAATGATTATGTTATTCGGCACCAACAGAGACAAAGACTTTGCAGTTTAGTAATGTCATGACAATATTCAGGCATATCGGAGGTATGGTCTTCTGTTTAGCTACCCAGATTTATTTATTTTATTGTTTTTTTAGAGACAGGGTCTTGCTCTGTTGCCCAGGCTGGAGTGCAGCGGTACGATACAGCTTACTGTAAAGTCAAACTCCTGGGCTCAAGGAATCCTCCTGCCTCAACCTCTTGAGTAGTGGGACTGGAGGCGTGTACCACCAGACCCTTCTAATTAAAAAAAATAAAAGATTAGTAAAGAGGAGGTCTTACTGTGTTGCCCAGGCTATTGCCTTGGCCTCCCAAAGTGCTGGTATTACAGGCATCAGCCACCAGGGCTGGCCTCAGATTTATTTTTAAAAAGTCTTTACAAAGGATGCATAAATTTCCAACTATATAAATGTGGGCTGTGCAGTGACTTCCTTGCAAATCGTATACTATGGGAAGGAGGAGAAAAAAGAAAGAAACTTAACAGTGAAGAAGTCTGATAAACAATACCACAGTCAGGTAATTAAGGTCAACAACAGCAGTGATGAATCATGTTGATAGCATGGATCCTTGATATGATGTGGTCAGAATGACACTTTACTTCCGTGGTCCTACTCCTCAAAACTTTTAACCCCAGGCTAATTATTTTTAAAAATTAGACAAATCCCAGTAAAGGAACATTCTGTATAATCTCTAACCAGTACTCTACAAAACTGGCAAAGTCATCCAAAACAATGGATGTCTGAGAAACTGTCAGAGCCAAAAGGAGAGTAGGGAGACGTAATAATAAAAACTAAGATAGTGTCCTGCATGAGATCCTGGAGAAGAACAAGGACATTGGGTATAAACTAAGAAAATCTGAATAAAGTATGGATTTTAGTTAATTAACAAAAGCCTTATACAGTGTAACAGTGTGAATGTGAACACAAATCTATTATCTCAGTTAAAGACAGACTAAATGATAAAGCTGCTGAGTTCATATTAAATTGTCAAGTGATGACATCAGCAATTCGTACAAAGGTAAGTAACGTTAGTAGGAAAATGGCTTACAAATAAGTTTAAAACTCTATAAATACTAACATTCAGAAACAGAAAAATATCAAAGCATGATAGATAGTGTTGTAAAAAGTAAGCCTAAATCTTGAAAGAGCTAGTAACTTAGACTTGAAAAGGAAACTGCCCAGTATTTTAGAACAGAATATTGTTTATCCTGTTAAGGCTACTTGATTAACTATATGGCTTTTAGAACAAATAGAAATCAGGTTATGCTGCATTAAAACACATAGAGACACACACACACACACAAACACATGCAATAGGAAGCGTTACATACAAATTGAAATACTTACTGGCTTTTTGATGCTACTTTATCTACCAGACAATATGGAAAACTTGTAGTAACAGAAAGTTAATCAGTTTTTGCCAGAAGTACAGACAGACTTTCCTAGATATAGTTCATTGTGTTTCTAGAAAAATGTTTAACTTGAGAATCTTTTATATGTGTAGTATTAAGGAAAAAAAAAAATGGGCTTAAACCTGTTTATTTTAAACATACAATTTTTTTTTAAACCCCACCTGATTTCATTGGTTTGCAGGAAAATAGACTATGTACAAGATGCATGTTTGGAACAAAGCAATAGCTAACTATTAGAATGTACAAAGGACGAGCAAAAAAATTTATAATATAGAGATCCAAGAGCAATGTGCATTATTGTATTATGTGTTTCTGGCTTCCTCAGAAAATATAGATGGGTTTCTTGAAGAATATCTGCATTTGATTGTCTTTACATTATACTTTTGCTGTTCTTTTTTCTTAGCCCCTTTCTGCAATGTGTAAGAAAAACTTATCAATCTGTTCTTTTTGTAATACTACCCTTGAAGGACAATGTGAACTATTTGCTTCTGTTAATCAAGGTAAACTAAGGGAATTCATTTTAACAAATGTATGGTGCCAGAAACCTTCTTCCAACCAAATGTGTTCTTTAAGAACAGAGAACACTCTGCACAGCTAATAAACAGCGGCATCTTTCTCTTTTCTATTCTAGTGCACTGACAGGCAGAACTCACCAGTCACATCACCAGGATCCTCTCCCCTTGCTCAGAGAAGAAAGCCACAGCCTGACCCACTCCAGATCCCACATCTAAGCCTGCCACCAGTGCCTCCTCGCCTGGATCTAATTCAGAAAGGCATAGTTAGATCTCCCTGTGGCAGCCCAACGGGTTCACCAAAGGTAGATCAATTTTATTAGAAACACAGATAAAATTTTGTAAGACAATTATTGATTGCTCAGATTCTTCTAAATTCCATTACTCATATTTTTTGTGCTTTTAATTGTGAACAAGTTTGATGAGTTTCTCATTTAGTTTATGGTGAGCACATGTTCGTGTTTCTTGTTTTATTACTATAAAAGTTACACGTAATTTTTGCAGAGAGAGCATATGTCTGTAGCCCCATGATTTACCAAAATAAGTAGCAGAGTAAGTATGGTTATTTTGTAAAATAGATTTAAAAAGTCATTATATGCATTGAAATAATTTGCATGCTGTTATCAAATGATATTCTGCACTCATTTTTATAGTGCCATGACAAGAAAAATGTGATGGGAGTATATTTGCATAAGGGCTTAAGGTGTGACAAATTATCACCCTTGTTTCAAGGTGACTCAGAAGAGAGAATTATATGTAGTTTTTAAACCTTGGGAAATTAATTACAATGAATTGCAATATTTGCAAAGTAATTATGTTACTGTTTAATATTAAAGACATAATTCTTACTCTACAGTTAAGCCTACAATTTATTTTATTGTGTGGATTTTTTCTTCAAATTTGATAAGTATAAAATTTTAAAAATTAATTTTATTTGGTAACATGCTCTGTTCTCTAAAATTTGTTGGAAGCACAATATATTTAGTAGTGTTTGATTTTCCTGTATTACCAGTTAACCTGGTTTTAAGATCACACACTATTAGAATATCATTTAGAATTATGTAAACACAACAGATTCCTTTTTTCTCTACTACTTTCTAACATTAAAATTACAAATCAATCATCAGATTAACCATGTAAATAAAAGTCAAAAGCTATGAAAAGCATACACATTCAATTCATTGATCTATACCTTTATATTTCTATGTAAGAATCAGCCTGATCTTTTAAAATACTGTAAGAATTCATAAAATTGAAGTAATTTGATATGTAGTGCTGCTCTGTTATTTGTGATCTTTTACTATTCTGGTAATAACTGATAAAGAAGCAGAGCACATTTGCCCCCGTATCAGTTATGCTGTATCACACTAATGAAAACAAAAATAAAGAAAAAGCTTTTAATCTTCTAAAAATATTACAAATACTACAAATCAAGTTGCTCTTTAAAAAAACTAGAACAGTGACAGCTTTTCTCGTCTCACCTAAATCATAGAAATGTGCAAATAAATTATTGACATTTTATGTCAAAGTCATCATATGATTTTGATCTACTTGTTTCTGTATCACTTCTATAACTTAACATTTGGATTTATGTACTCATTTCTGGGTTTTTTTTTAATCCTAATGAAATGTATTTATGAGTTTTTTATTCTCATTTAAATTTCATTAACTGGTAATAAAAGAAACTTATTAAAAGATGGCACAGGAATCTAGTAAAACTCCTTGTTTGCTTAGAAAATTAAAGTAATAATACATGTTTGAAAGTTATTTCAATGCATGGTACAACTTTTAGTTTGTTTTCTCTCTCTTCTGTTTCTTTAGTCTTCTCCTTGCATGGTGAGAAAACAAGATAAACCACTCCCAGCACCACCTCCTCCCTTAAGAGATCCTCCTCCACCGCCACCTGAAAGACCTCCCCCAATCCCACCAGACAATAGACTGAGTAGACACATCCATCATGTGGAAAACGTGCCTTCCAGAGACCCACCAATGCCTCTTGAAGCATGGTGCCCTCGGGATGTGTTTGGGACTAATCAGCTTGTGGGATGTCGACTCCTAGGAGAGGGCTCTCCAAAACCTGGAATCACAGCGAGTTCAAATGTGAATGGAAGGCACAGTAGAGTGGGCTCTGACCCAGTGCTTATGCGGAAACACAGACGCCATGATTTGCCTTTAGAAGGAGCTAAGGTAAGAAATACGCAAAGCAGAAGCTAGAGAATCTGCTTATAAATGCTTCTGATGGTCAGTAGCATAAAAGGTTGGGAAGTTTTTTTTTTTTTTTTTTTTTTGCCTAGCATGGCACCTCCCTGCAAGTCTTTAATTATCCCCAAGTTATAAATAATCAGAAGCTCATTAAAATTTGAGCTTAAGAGAAGTCAGGAGGTTCTAAGTAATGATTTAATTTTAATGTGAAGACACTAGACAATTTGCCAGAGATTTATTTCACCTTCCCTTATTTCATTTGCCAAAAATTTCTTCTATTAACAACTTAGTGGTGGTATAATCAGTACTGCATTTATTTTTTTTTTTTTTGAGACGAAGCCTCGCTCTTGTCCCCCAGACTCGAGTGCAATGGCGTGATCTCGGCTCACTGCAACCTCTGTCTCCCTGGTTCAAGCGATTCTCCTGCCTCAGCCTCCCGAGTAGCTGGGATTGCAGGCATCTGCCACCACACCTGGCTAATTTTTGTATTTTTAGTAGAGATGGGGTTTCACCATGTTGGCCAGACTGGTCTTGAACTCTTGAGCTCAGGTGATCCTCCCGCCTCAGCCTCCCAAAAGTGCTGGGATTACAGTTGTGAGCCACTGCGCCTGGTCAGCACTGTATTTTTAACAAACTGTTTTAGTTCCATCCAATTTTTACAAGTCGTGTTACTGTACATGTCATAAATCCATTGCTGGAGTTAGTTATTGTTGCCTGGGACAGTACACATTAGGCAGCCAGGTAAAATGAACTTCCTATATACTCAAAAACACTAAACCAAGTTCACTCTTAAAAGTCAAGTTCTTTTCCCCTAAAACTGAGAGATTCTCACCCTTGTTGACTTCTCACTTGAAGGATGTTACCACTATCATTTTTATGTCCAGGAAGGAGTTTATGTGTGCAGGAAACTGAAGAGACAGCAGCAGAAATCATTTACTTTAGAATTCTTGGTATTCTTGGTAGTTCCTTGGCAGAGGTATACTGTAATAATTGCTGGTATTTGGTTCCAGGATGCTTTTGACTCTGAGATTAGATCCTTGCCATCTTCCCTTTACTGATGGAGGCCTTGGCTCTTCTGAAGACTGTAATATTAAAGTGATCTCATCTTTGTAGACCTTAAATTGATATTTTACAGAAGTAGTCTAGTCCTTCAAAATAATGGTTAAAGTTGGTAAGTTCATCTTATAACATATTCAGGATACAAGGAAGAAGCGTGACTTGCATTCAGCTCCTCTGTGTGTGGAGGTACAGTGATAATGAACACTTTGTATGACAATATTTAGCCTCAGTGATGTGGGATAGCCAGGAAAGGAAGAATCACAACTCAGTAACACTGCATTCAGAACAAAGGCAAGGAGTGGTGGCAGTTTGCTGTGACTCTTTGCTGGTGACTCAACTTGGTACCTTCAGTCTCATCTATTATAAATATGAGGATCTCTAAAAGTTTCCTCAGGGTCATCTAAATATAATGTAAATGTAAGAGAACATACTAATAAAATCAATTTTATAATGATCTCTGTCAGTGGGGAGCTCATCCTCAAAAGAGTTTTTCCACAACCTAGAATGCTGATTGGAGGGACCTGCCATTCATTTTCAAAAATTTTCAGTGTTGTATTTTTTTCCCCCTTTAGCCTTAACTTTTTATTCATATGTGATCACACTTATCTTGGGAAGAGTGTTAGAAGAAGTTGTAATTACCTAGTTACATCTCAGAAGCGTGTTATAATTTATTTTCTAAATGGACTTCAAAAATACTTGAAATATAATAGTTGTCATAGCCATTTCATTGAAGATATCTTGTTTCAGGGTTCTTTTGGATAACGTGTTCTAGTTTTAATGCTGTTATAAATTTACCCTCCTAAGCTCTAGAAAGCTGGCTGATAATTTTTTTAAGAAATGTTACAGTTGCAAAAATTGAGGTGACAGTTTCTTAGGTTATTGGTATGAGATACTGTATTTTATTAACTTTAGGTATGAAATATTAATTGTGAGTTCAGTTATAAGAACATTTCTTTAAATATTTCTCTGTGAACTTTCATGTTGTGATCATTGATGCAGATTAGTATAACAGAGAAGACTGACTGAAAATTTTATCTCTTATTGAAAACTAAACTTTACTGCTTAGTTCTCTCTAAATAATTTTCATTAAGATTCCCTAAGGTCTAATCTCATATATTGTGTGTCTTTATATTGCAATGCTAATATGCTCAAGTTAATCTCATGTTACTCTTAGATTTGGTGTTTCAACCAAAATTAGACTTCTAAGATTTCTAATTTCAACCTGATTGTTTAACTTCTGGAGTGAACTGTAAAGAAGAACTTGATTCATTGAATGCCACAGAACTATAAAACAGACCATGTCTCCTCTTTTATTACCATCATAAAGGAAAAATGGTTTCACTTCATTAGATCATAGGGCTTACCAGAACTTACATAAAGTAGAAAAGGCCTAATTCCTCTCTCATTTCATTGTTGGGAGACTTAAGAGGTTGGCTTCAACCAGCAACTGACATAATCACTTAAGATCCTGTAATTCTCAGTTTCTGTGATCCTGGGCTGGAGTTTGTTACCAGGCTCTGAAATCAGGCCTGGATTTCACTTTCTGCTCTAGAATGTACTGGCTTTGTGTATATGGCAACTTACTTCATCTTTATCTCCAACCTCACTTGTTTTCCTTATAAATAAAGTGGAACTTTATTTTATTCCTTTATATAAAATGGAATAATAATATTACCTGGTATCTAGGATAATAGTTAGCTTCCAACTATCTGAATTTCTATACCGCTTGGTTCAGGAATAAAAACAAAAATAACAGCTGGACATAGAGTGTCAAAATAAGTTGTAACACTTGGCATTTTTATTCAAAATAGTTGTCTGTTTTATAAACCAAAACATCTTTGTTTCACTCCTTTTTTCTTTTATTTAGCATAGTTCCTAATGAATGTTTGGTAGGCACTCAATAACCAAGTTATAACTTGGTTAAGCTTATAATATAATACTTCCTTGGTGATAGTAATCTAACGCTAAAGCTAGTGGTAGAGAAAAAGGAGTATATGTGCTTGGGTTTGAGTGTAGGCAGCTGTAGGCCAGGAGAGAAAAGGTGGAGGAAGAATATGGCCATGATACGCAAGGAGTTACAAATGGACAGGTTTTTGTGTATCTTGCATAGTTTTCATGTTTAAAGTAGATTTTTTTCCTCTGCAGAAGAGTAGTCATTTTAAATATGTAGATCATATACAATAAGAAAAAGAGAGCGAGTGAAGAGAAAGGGGAGATATTTTTATTTTATAAAAGGACTAAGATTTTTAATGAAAATAGTAGATATTAACAACATATTTTCACCCTTCATACCTAATAGTGCCATTTTGTTTTGTCTTACTTTATCATTGGGATAAAGAGTGTGGAGATTTAGATATTTGGAGGCTGTTTTATTGTTCACATAATTCATCAGGCCCCCTAATGTAAGCAAATACGCTTTTTTTTTTTTTTTTTTTTTTTGGTCAAATCATAAAAACTGCCGCTTAGGTTTAGTAGTTTTCATTAGAGGCAAAGCTTCAAATTTAATAGCATCTTCCCATTTTAGAGATAAGAAAATGTAGATAAGTACTAAAAATTGAAGTGAAAACTAATTATTACATGTGGAACACACAGGAATTTATAAAAGTCAATACCCTGTCGATGGGCGAGGACTCGCTTCCCTTCATTACTCGTCCTGTCAGTATGTCAGTTCTCATCATCCAATAGAACCATTTGCCTTTTCTGTTTGCGTTGTAACTAGAACAATGAATGGTAGGGGAAATGGGAATAAATTAAGCTCTAATTCCTCCATTTGGTAATTGTAGAGAGCTCTGAGGAAAAAAAATCTTCTAGCTCATAGTTAAAATGAAGTGTAAGAATTTTTTGTGACATTCATTTACTCCCTTTACTCTTCCCCTCGTGCCTGGCATAATCAAAAGCTAGTCAAGGTAGTACTTTTTAAATGTGGATCTACAGGCTAAGAGTTATTAAGTTTATTTATCTGACTTTATTGGTAAGAGATTTCTGTCCTATAGCATTGTTTCCATTCTCTGAAAGTCTTAGATTTTAGTCACCTTATAAAGCTGTTCCTTAATAGACATCTTGTTGGCTAGATATTTACTGTCGTTGGTGGTTTGTTTTAATTATCTGAGGAAAATAGTTCTACCAAAGTATATTAAAATATGACTAGAAACTTGAAATGTATCTACTTATTTCTAGATATCAACATTGTACCCAACTGTCATTATTTGTTCTCTTGAGGCAGTAAGAATACTGCTGTTTCTTTTGTGATAAAACTATCTTTAACTGGTCATGTTACTTACAGTGACATTGTTCTAAAGATGACCTTTGTATGATAATTTTTTGAAGACGTTGTAAGATAAATACATCAAATGATTTCCCTTTTTGCAGTTGTGGCTTGTTGTACTTTTGGTGGAGAGGCAGATGTTTATATTAATGACCTTAAAGTTATCTATAAATTTCGAGGACTGTCTTTCAGAAAATCAGTCCTCTGTGTGTACTGGTTTCATGTCCAGTCTGATGCTGAAGGACAAAATACAGGGGTACTTTTGAGGTAGCATGTGTAGGGATTGACGTGCATGGGGGTTGACATGTGTAGGATCGGGAAAATGCTTGTGTTTAGTAAGATGTTTTTAAAATGTTTTTCTTAATTGTGCGAAGATTTTCACAAAATTGTTTTCTGTGTATCTCAAGGGTCCCAAATGTTTTAATCTTCAGTTTTTAAACAATATCTGAATCACAAGAAAACATTTTACACTTTAGGATTAGATGATACCTTGAGGTATTTAGAGAAATATTAATCTAAGATAACCTAGATTTCTAATAAATTATACAAGCCAGTTTATACTTCTTTCACAAGTCTACACTTCCACTATTGTTTTCTTATTTCTTCAACCTCATTACCTAATTCAGCTATAAGAGTACCTAGCATGTTCAAGACACTCTGGGGAATACAAAGAGGAATAAAGCACAGAAAAGCTAGTCAGGATGAGACAGGCATGTGATTAAGAGGTAAGGCATATGAGAAGCATCCAGAAAATGTGTGGGATCCCCAAGAAGAACAAAAATTCCAAGATGCAGGACTGAAAAAGTAATAAAGAAAGCTTCATGCAAGAGAGTCACTGGCTATAGATATTAAAAGACTGGCAACTGTTGTTTTTGTAGTTATTACAGAAAGGAACAGCATGGAGGTGAGAGAATATGTTTAGTGATAATACAGTCAGTTTTGGATGGCCTATAGCATAAAAAGAGTGGGCAGGTGAGGTAAGACCATGGCAAGGTAAGTTGAAACCAATTATGAAGTGTCTTGAATTCTACATTAAGTAATCATAATTTGGTAGGCAGGAAAGAACATTTAAAGTTTTCTTTTCTGGCAGAGGAATACTAGGATTAGAATTGTGAATTTAGAAGATTTAAATTGGTAGCATTTCCAATGCAATTGTGATAGATTTGGGACAGTGAGCTAAGAATGCAGAGGATGAAAAGATGTTTCTTAGTTGAGGATTCAGTGAGGTTTCAGTGTGAACTGCTTCAGTTGATACTATCAGTCTGTACATTTGAAGAACTACAGTTTTTTTTTTACCATTTGCAAACAGGTTTTTTAGATATCTTGAAAATATATAAAGTATTTATTTTTAGCCCCCAAAGTTGTGATTTATTGTACTCACTCAGGTAGTGGCAGCTAAAATGATTTTCTGGTGTAATGAAATGGTTGCAGGTGAGAACATAAAATTCAGAATGACATAATGTTAAATCTTGTCCTTTAGCCACTATCCATAAATATAAACAGCCACTTTAGATGAACAGAAACATGATCATCACTTTATAAAGTACCTGCACATTTAGGTCCTTTGCTGTCTCAATCTAATAATTAGGAAAGAACTATACAGAATTCCAAGTTTCGTATTAGGCATATTGTCAACTCTCAGTACATATTTATGAACAGTTTGCAGGAATAACAGCCATTAAACAAATTATATATGTGTGTGTGTGTGTGTGTATATATACATATATATATATATATATGTGTATATATATATACACATATTTGCTGAGAGTATTTCAGTAATAATGAGTTTCTTTCAGCTAAACCTAAGGAAAGTCATTTTACTAGTTAATACCTCCGTTAATAAGTACATCTAAGCCAATCAGCAGTCAATATTCATTTCAGCCCTACTGTGTGTAAAGCACCATAAGGCATATGCTGTAAAATGGTAAAGGAGTAATAAGAGTTTTTGTCCTGAAAGAGGCCCAGCGTGGCCTAAATTCTCCTTGACGAAATGTAAGTACACAGAGCAGGAGCAAAATATTATCAGATGCCAAACATCAAATGAATGGTTCAGAAAAGACACTACAGCATTTCAGTGGCTCTAGAAATCCTTTAGTTACTATACGTCAGTAGCAAATGGTATTTCTGAAACAGTTAGAAAAAGTGCCATTTGCATTTTAAAGCAAATTAATGGATTGTTTCAAAAAATTAGGAACAAGTCATTTAATTTTCTTAGATACTGCCCTCCAAGAGTAAGTTACCTCATTAATTGTACTTTGTGGTTTTACTAGTGATAGCCATCATTGCCTGTATGACTTCTCTTCATGAACTGAATAGTAGTACATAAAAATATGCAAGCTCTGTTATTAGTGTTTTATTCTCATTTACCTAATGTGCAAGATGAAAGCAATTTCAACACCGGTAAATGTTTGAGTGTATTGGTATTTTTGAAAGATATATTCATAGTGTTCTGATTATAAAATTATGGTTGGTTTATTGTTAAATTAGAACCAATACAACTGAAACTATTATTCCCATATCTCTCTTTTATTTTATTGTTGCTGAAATTTTATTAAGCATCTATCTATGTTGGATGATTTGTCCTCAAATAACAAACTATTGCATATAAAATTCACATTACATTTTCCCAAATGAGTTTTATATGTATTTGTGACATGAATTAAGGAAATTTGACTGCAGATATCTTACATTGTATCTATTCCTGCAGCATGCAAAGAATTCCAATGAAGAATGACTTCCAAAGCTCAGTATTACAATGAGCATTTGTGTATTTGTCAGTTAAAAGACCTTTTTTTATGTTAAAGGATTTTATTAAACTTCAAAATGATTAATGTCTATTAGGAAATTTCTTCTTTCTGGCACACTTCAGAACACTTTGCCTTATTCTGTTATTTGGCCACAGTCAAAAGCCCAGGATAAAATCATTTTATTTAAAGGTAATATTTTGTCATGGTGTGGCTACAGTATATTGAGTCTAATGAGGGGAAACATGAAAAAAGAGAAATTGGTACTAAAGCTTAGGATCAGCTTTGTAGCTCTGAAATACACACGCTGATAAATTTCAAATGTGTTCTTTAAACTTGTTTCTTTTCTTATTTTAAGTTGATAGGTAAGAGTATGACCTTTTCAATTTTGTATTCTAAAGCTTCAACATCATTTTAGAAATGTGATGGAGAAAAGTAATTGTTAAGTCCTCAATTGAATTATCCATCACTGTTCAAATTACTTCACTTGCATTTAGCCCCACCATCAGTCTACCTAATAAATATGAATTAATAAGAGTTTACAAAGGAACTCCATGATAAAAATCTAATGATTGCTTACAGGTCTTAAAATGTGTTCAGTCTTTTCTTGTGAATATGTTTCTGCAAAATGATCCTCTCATAACCCCCCACTTTTAAGTTGCTGTAATTTCAAATTGTAGTAGAAACAAATAACAGTTTTTCAGACATTTCCTATAGTGTAACAGAAATCTAAACACCAGAATTCCCTAATTCAGAGTAATTGAACGCTGGCTTTGGATGCCATATGAGCAAGTTAGAAATTGTGGTTTGTATGTTCACTAACTGAAAATTTTGTTTAAATTTGCCTGCACTTGGAAAGCCAGAACAGGTCTCTAGTTATCTTTAGCGCAGAAGCTTCAACCATGAAAGAACAAAGGCACTTCTGATTATATTAATGTACTGTTTTATCAGAAAGTTTAAGAATGTTCCGTTCACCATGGAGAAATATAATTTAGAGCAATTTAATTTGGAAGGAATTAAAAAGAGAATAACATCAGTGCTGCTTTTTTCTTTACCCCTTATAGAGAATGCTAACTTTTCAATAAAACCTGATCATAGTTGGTGAATTTTATTATTTACCTATTTAGCCAATAATATCTGTATGTGATTTATATAAATTATAGTATTACCTCTCAGTGTTTAAGAATCATGCTGTAACATTTTTATTTTTTGTATAACCTTGAGCCACTTTAGGCGGTGGTGACTCATCAGTGTGGTGCTACTGACTCCTGAATAAATTGTAGGACATTTCGCTTGTTTAAATATACTGAACTTACACATTGTCTTCAAAATGGTAGGTTACCTAAGAGCAGCTATTGCTGTAAGGTCCTTCAGAAGTTAAATTCTTGGAAACTAACCATTTGATTTACTTTCAGGTCTTTTCCAATGGTCATCTTGGAAGTGAAGAATATGATGTTCCTCCCCGACTTTCTCCTCCTCCTCCAGTTACCACCCTCCTCCCTAGCATAAAGTGAGTTTTGTTGAATTTGGAGATCACTTGTCTGTGCATCAAGATATGGTAAAGAGTGGTTTTGAGAGGCTCTCAATACAGACACTACACGACGAATAGAAAGTCATTGATAGTAAACAGCCAGCTGTATTTACAAACTAACTTACCATAAATTAAGATCCTTCCCAATACTTTGCTGGTAACCACAACATCTATGAGACTTACCTAACTCTTGAGGTTACACATAGAGCAACAGGGAGAGAAAGCTAAGTATTCCTTGCATCAAAGAGGATAGAGTAGCACAATGAGGTATCCCTTCAAATTTACCTCTCCTCCTCATAGGTAACCCATTTTATCTCAGCTTTCCAGTTTGACATCATAAAAGAATCTTTGGTTCTACCAGTTTTTTCATTTCTCACATCCATTCAGCTACCAAGTCCTTTTGATTACTCTTTTGGAGTTTTTCATATTCCTCTCCTCTTCTCCATTGCTCTAGCTTTGCCTCAGAGCTGGACAACTGAAAGAGCAACTGATCATCTCATATGATCGGAGATTTAGTATCAGTGGGTTTAGGGCTAGTAAAATGAGATAAGTGGGTATCTCATTTGAAAAATGGGGCCGCAGAGGCACACTAGATATCTCCCATTGGTATCTTCCCAAGTTAAACCAGGATAAACTGGATATCCCAATTCTAATTTTCCTGCTCTTTATATGAAGTCAGGATGTCTGCCTTTCCTCCAGTGTATTTTGTTCACTGCAACTGAGTTCATTTAATTTAAATTCTGCCTTCCCCCGGTCACTTTCCCACTCAAAATCCAGCATTGTTTCCGTTTTTCTATTAAATTAATTCTATACTCTTCTGCTAACAGTAAGATCCTACAGAATTTTACCCAACTAAAATATTGTTCAGTGATTCCTAATACTTGCCCTGTAATTTTATCTGGATTGTTTTTTCTGGCTTTCTGAGATTTTTATGCTGTTCCTCCTGTACTTTACCTTTTCCTAATCTTTATCCTAAAGGTCCGTATCTCAGACTGTATTTCTTTGTGAAATGATCTGTGACTTCTTCAACTGTAATGGTTAAGACTGATTCACATTCCTCTTCCTGCAGTTTATTTTCTACTCATTTAATTATATACTCTGCCATACTGTTTTCTGATTTTAATGTGGCTCTCCAATTGAAAAGATTACAAGACTTTGAGGGCAAAAACTGTGTTCTGTATCTCCCATGACATCTTACTGTATTTGATGTATACTAAGTAAATGATTTGCATAAAGTAAGTAAGTACACAGAGAATACGTGGATGCTTGGTCAGTTGATTTAAATTTTATCTGCTGAGGTCCTTATTTCCAACTGAAAGTCTTAGAGCTTCTTCATTCCTTCATCTGCAGTTCACTGAACTCCCACTATACATATCAATGCAAACGAAAAATAAGGTAGATCCCAGCCCCCAAGAAATTTACAGTCTGCTTTGGAAAATAACATTAACATATACGAAATCACTAGAGAATCGTATGCACTAACGTTTATAATGCTAACTTAGTAGTTTCAAATGAATTTGGAGGAGAGGCTGTTACAGCCTTTGTGAATGAAGTATGTTTCATGGAGGGATGGCCATTTCCTAACTCACGAAGTACACGCACAATTGGGAAAGGCAGCATATGAGAAAAAACAAGGGTGTGAAATTTGACATCGTTCAGGGGATGGTGGGAAACTCAGCGAATTAGATCATTCTCCAGTGGGAACTTCTCTTGGAACTGCCAGATATTTAGCAGACATAGGAGTTGGAAGCAATTACACATACTCTGTGTAGTAGGCTCTAAATCAGTGACAACATGTGATGATATTCTAGCCCTAAATGAACTCTGGATATATGTGCATGTAATAAAACATCTAAGCTCAATTACCTCTCATAACTCAGAAAACATTAGAAAATGAAATCTTGCTAATTAGAGATTAAATTTTCACATTCTGTTTATTAAATTCATATTGGCAAGCAAGCTGGAAGTTGCAGTTTGCTTCATTTGTATTTAACATTAAATGCCTGCTTCTCTTGTAAATGAAGCAAGAATAACAAATTCATAGTAAAATGTATTTTTTCTAATACTTCAATTTGTAAGTGCATCTAAAATTAGTCATACTTTCTCCCTATTTACTCTTGATTTTTCACTCAGAAACAGTGCAGTTGTTTCACTTAGAGTAATATTTTAACAGTGCACGCTTACCAGCAAATTAGTTTTCAATTTGGCATGCTGCATGTCAGCCATAGTTAGCAATACAAATGTTAGCTTTTAATGGCACATTTATCTCTCCAGTTTATTTTTCTTTCTGACTCTGTAGGTAGCAGTTGTTCATTGTAGACAATATGCAAAGTATATAAAAAAGAAAAAAGTGAGATACATAAGTATAAGCATACGCAAATGCTAAATATCAATGTCTAGAGTTTTAACATTTTGACTTTTTTGTTTAAACTTGTTTATACCTTGTTTAGATTATATTGTAGAGATAATTTTATGCCCTCCTTTCTTAACATTATCATAAGCATTTTTCTTAGTTGTTTAGTTATACACTGTGTTTATTATAAAACCAGCATGGAATGCTGATGTGAACAGTAGAATAAAATCAGACTGTGTACCACACCTGACTCTGCCATTAAGTATTTGTCTTTTTTGTTGTTTGTTTTTTTTTTTTTTTTTTGAGATAGAGTCTCACTCTGTCACCCAGGCTGGAGTGCGGTGGCGCGATCTCGGCTCACTGCAACCTCTGCCTCCTGGGTTCGAGCCATTCTTCCGCCTCAGCGTTCTAAGTAGCTGGGACTACAGTCACCCGCCACCATGCCCGGCTAATTTTTTTATTTTTAGTGGAGATGGGGTTTCACCATATTGGCCAGGCTGGTCTCGAACTCCTGACTTTGTGATCCGCCTGCCTCGGCCTCCCAGAGTGCTGGAATTACAGGCATGAACCACCACAGCCTTTGTCTTATTTTTAACGGGGTAACTTCTCTGGCCTTTCCCCATCTGATAGAAGAGAGAATCTGTTTAACTTAAATTATCTCCAAAATCCTTTTGAGATTCAACTTTTTAGGTTTTATACAGTGTGTTTTTTTAAAGAATACTGATGGCAAACCTGGCAACCTAACAGTGAGTCGAGAGTCCTGGTTCTGGATGGTCTTAGAACAGAGGTCTTAGCAAAATGCCACTCACAGAAATAAGAATGTCAGATGTTTGAGAATTCATTTCCATCTTAGACTCTTGGTGCATGTTTCAAAATCAGGCCAAAGCAAAAAATTACACGTTGCTACCAAACATACACTTCTCTAGTTCTCACAAATGTTGAAAACTCCAAAGTTAAGTCCAAGAACGTCAAAGCTAGCATTTACCTTTATATTTATACTATGTTGTTATACATATTTACAGAAATAGTATTGTTAAATATTTGATACTGTTTACTGATTTTCATTTACGTGATGTCAGAGACTGCTCTGTGATAGTGTTTCCTTTCCTGTTAAACTGTATCTTTGCAGTTATTTGACTTTTATTGTGTAATTTGTCTTGAGACCTAGAAGAGTATGAAATTTACTTCTAAAAAATATACTGTTGTAAAAGCAATCTGAAATTACTTGTATCTATATACTTAATTTTTCTAAAATGATGTTTTTTTCTAAAGTAATGTTTTTTTCTAAATGGTTTCTGCTTAACATCTTTGACACTTAGCTATAAATACAAAATTTTAAGTAAATCCTAGAAACATGGGTAATTACTGTTTTGGAGGGAGAACAAAGTAATCCTATGTGGATTCTTTTTACTTTATAGTTTACATTATTTATTTACTAAATTATATTTATTTTGAAATAATTTGATTTTTCAAAATTAAAACTAAATGATACTCTGAATAGTTAAGGAAATATTTATTTTACTTGACATACAATAGTTTGGCAAATGAACAGAGGCATTATTACAAGTAATAATGGAGTAATTACTTCCAGGTAAGATAATGTTCTGAAATGCTGAGGAATATCTTTTTTTTTTTTTTTTTTTTTAGAATTTTTTGTGTGTGTGTGCCTTGTCTTTTAGAGATGGACCTTTTGTACTTTTGACATATTAAACTTAGGCTTTCAAATACCCATGAACCAATATTACTTGGTTTGCATTTTTGTAAGAAAGGTTTTTTTGTTGTTAGAAGTGGTATTATCTATTTTTATGAATATATATTCTTATAATATATATTTTCCTAAAGAGGTAAGTGCTTACATTTTTGGTTCCATAAACAGAGAATACAAATTTCACCTAACTGTCCTATTTTCATTCAGTTGCTTTACTGACTAGAGGTTCAGTGTGTACAAGATAAAATCCTTTATCCTCTTTGGAATTTAAGCTCTAGTTAGAGAGAAGAGAAAGTAAACAAGTAACTATATTGTATATTGTCAGCTAGTGGTAAGTGCTAGGAGGAAAAATAAACAGGGAAAAGGATAAATAATGATAGAGAGGTTTATACTTAGATGAGGTCATTAGGAAAGACCTCTCTGAAAGGCTAATATTTGAACAGAAACTTGAAGGAAGTAAGGGAGCAAACCAAGAGGTTATCTGTGTGAAGAGCACAGAAGCTGGATAGAACACAAGTACAAAGCAACTTCAAATCTGTTGCTCGGATTTACAAACAAGTTAGTGAAAATGCTTCTAAGTAAAGCTTATCTTAAAGCTTGATAGTATACCACACAGATGTTTTTGATGTCATGAAAGACCCTTCAAAATTAGCATGTATATGATAAAATTTAGTGTTTTGAGGAAATGATTTATATGTGGCACATGTGCAAAAATCATTTCAAATACAGCTATATTTTGTTTTGTCTCTTCTCTGGACTATTTATTTGAATTAGACATTTTCCCTGTTAGGATTGGGATAATGTAATATAAGAAATATGGAATAATGTATAGGGCAAGCTCTAAAGATTCTAACAGAAGATATTTTTCATTACTTGCCTTCAGATACTATTAAAGGAAGATAGATCCTTATGTGTAGAAAACAAGCTTACTAATTAAGCATAGCATTGGATACTATCTCCTGTGCTGGCCTGAAAATTCACCTGTTTCCTGGTTTGTTTCAAATGTGCATATGTAGAAGATGAAAGTATTTATCACTGAAGGCTCAAATAGCTAACACTATGAATTTAATAACATGTCCAGGTTGTGGGGAGGGTGACTATGCATCTTTGAGAGTGTGTGTCTCTATGTATTACCAGAGTATTAACTCAGTAATAACAGCAACAGTGCAGAACATTCTGTGAATGTAGGATGAGAATATAAAGGGATTGCAGTAATAAGTGTATAGGTAGGCTTTAATGTGGAGTCAGCCAATACCATTTGTTCAGCTTTATTCCTCTGGTATCCTAAAAATTTCCCGTAAGTTTAGTCAGTGACTGAAAATTGTCCCATGCCCTGCAAGATAGAATTTTTTTCTACTGCCAAATGTTGTATATATTAATAGATAATGACTAATTATAAATCTAATTATTTTGCCAGTTATTTAGTAGCAAGTAAAATTAAACCTGTTTTTTGAATGAGTTTGTAGAGGAAAATAAAACCCCACGTGTCATTCCAGATGGTGAAATTAGTTACGTGACTTTAGTTCTTTATTTTGCTATTTTATATACATCTTCTTTACCTCATTTGTACCATCCTCTTATGTTATTTTTTGTGATAGAAACCATTTTTTTTTCAGAACTGGTAAGATTACTTTTTAATAAAAACCATGTAATCTTAAATAAAACACACTGGAATGTTATTATAAATTGGCTTATTTCTAATCTAAATAGACTATTATACTGATATTAACAATTTTTATTAAAAACCATAAGCAGAAAAATAAAATCTGAATCTTTATAACTTTATTAAAAAGGTGATAAATGGGACACCTAAGTATTTTTTTCATATTTAGATACAAACTCCACTTGAAGACTATTTTTTCACTTCTAGATATAATTCTCTAAAATCCATTTAAGCTAACAATTTATACTAGTAAGTTTTAGCAATAAGCCTTATCTCCATGAAGTATTAGATGAGCTTTGCTTTTCACTTCATTCGGAAATAATCTACTGATACAAATCGGGGAAATTACTCGAGAAATTGTCTATCATTGAAAGTAAAATATCAAATTAGCCGCAACATATGTGATTTTAAAAAGTGTCCATTGTTGACTCATAATGAACTGCTTCTTTGGAAACTTAAATCTTTGGAGGGAACCTGCAACAGGCAGATGTTAGAACCTTTCTGATATTGAATAGTTGTTGAATGTTTAGTGAGAAATACTGTTTTCTTTTTACATAGTGTATGCTTGAATTGCATAGAAAGGGATTCATTATAAATGAAAGTATCTTAGGCATAGAAAGGATGTACAGTATTTATTTCTCATTTCATTTGATAATAGAACCCATTCTGGTCCTTGACTTAGCTAAATTGATGTCTGTGTTTACAGGAATTTATGGAGAAGTAATAAGTCCCTCCCAGCTCCAGTGCCATCAGATCACCATTTTGCAGCCCATATACTTAACTTCCTTTAATTGGAAAGTAAATCCTCCAAAATTAAACCATAATAGGTGTAATAATAGATTATTATTAAGGCCCTTAGGTTATGCTGTAGGTAGTGACATTGGACCTTTTGTCACTATATCACTGTGCTTTTGTCTCCCTGTAAAGCTCATGTGAATTCTAAGGTTGCTGAAACAACAAGAATTTAAAGATCAGTATTGAAATTTTTTTCAAAGATAGGTATTATATTTGAAAAATCTTAGTTTTTCTTTGATCTTTGAATGTCTTAGAGACTTAGATAATATCTTTGAAACTTGAATCTTTTGATTTTTCAAAATGCCTTCTTGTAATGTTCGCAAAAAAAAGCCCCTAAAATTGTTTCCGTTCTAACTAATAAAAAGGAATAAAAATGAATGTTAATTCAGGCATGTTTGTTTAATATACCAAAGGCCTCTTGCTCCCTCTACAGAAGGTGCTTCAAAATTGCAGTCACTTAGTTTTTTGTTTCTTTGGGGTTTTTTTTTCCTTTTTAAATTGAACAGATTTCTCATGAGGTTCATGATGATTAGTGTATTTGCAATGCCTTGCAAACTAGTTCGTCTTCCTAAAGTGAATCAGATTGAGTTTGTGCATTTCTGCTTTGGCATTTTTCATTGGCTTCAGCCAGGGTTAAACTCCAGTAGCAACAGCTATGAAAAACATTATGTTTATGTTTGCCTATTTGTTTGGGTTTGTTTTATTTGGTTTATTTACTCTTATGCATAAGTGAAATCCTTAATATTTTTGATATGAGATGATGGTTTTACTCGTTTTAATTCTCTTTTATTTAGCCAGGGAATCTAAGCCATAAAAATAATGTACTCTACTTCAAAGACTTAAAAATAAGTTATCTCATTATCTACATCTAATCATTCCATTCATTTTTAGCTCTCAGTTGTTGGTAGGAAGAAAAACCTAACAACTTCAACTATAATTTCACAGGATAGTTAAGTTTTACAGAATTAAACTGGATATTTTTCCAACTATAAATAATACTCACAGGAGACAAAAAGTTTGACCATTCTGTAAAGACTTCTTGAATATATAAAACTGCCATGCTTATTATTTTAACATCATACTTTACCCATTTAATTTAAATTGAGTAAAATATTAATATTTTAATAGCTTTGGTTTGAATAAATTTATACATTTTATCTTACGAATCCAACATCTTTTTATTTTATTCAACAGGTTACTAGTTTTTCCTATTGTGCTGTTTAAAATTGTAAGGGTGAAAATTCTTTTATCCCATCAAGAGTCTTAACAAAAGATTGAAAATCCTTTTCATTTGTATTTAATATAAGAACAGCTTCTCAGATGATACCCTGTAATTGAATAATGAACATAAGTGATAAAGTAGCTTCTTTGACTTGAATATGTCACATCAGACTTGCCTGTTTTGAATATTATGCTTAAACTAGATTGGATTTTTTTTCCCCTGGTAGGTGTACTGGTCCGTTAGCAAATTCTCTTTCAGAGAAAACAAGAGACCCAGTAGAGGAAGATGATGATGAATACAAGATTCCTTCATCCCACCCTGTTTCCCTGAATTCACAACCATCTCATTGTCATAATGTAAAACCTCCTGTTCGGTAAGAATACGGACAGCTTTTTGCCACTTAGATCTGCATAAGCATTATCATTTGCAATGTTTGTTTTTAAACAATTGATTTACGTCTAGTTAAAAATCCTTGATTTCAAGCTCAAAGCCTTCTCTTCCTGTATACCATTCCCTGCATTACTTCTAAAGAAAACTAAAAGATGCAGATTTCTCATTAATCAGGAAGTCACTTTATTTGATCAGTTCTAAGCATGTATCTCATGAAGAAAAAATTAGTGCTCAGAAACTAAGGTATTATTCTGACCTTCCTTAGAATTTTTCTTCATAATGTAAAGACTAGTATAATTTATTTCCATTTTCCTTCTTGATGTACTTGCTACCTACTTCTATTCAGATTTTGAAGAATGGGAACAAATACCAAGTTGTTTCCCTTAACTTTTTGTTTTTCTATCAAGTGCTGTTTTACCTTCCTTCAGATCAAATAAGAATGTGAGGAATAGGCTAGGCGCGGTGGCTCACGCTTGTAATCCTAGCACTTTGGGAGGCTGAGGCGGGAGGATCATGAGGTCAGGAGTTCGAGACCAGCCTGACCAACATGGTGAAACTCTGTCTCTACTAAAAATACAAAAATTAACCGGCTGTGGTGGCGGGCGCCTGTAGTCCCAGCTACTCAGGAGGCTGAAGCATGAGAATCGCTTGAACCCGGGAGGCGGAGGTTGCAGTGATCCGAGATCGCACCACTGTACTCCAGCCTGGGCGAGAGAGCTAGACACTGTTTCAAAAAAAAAAAAAAAAAATGTGAGGAATAATGGGGGTTTTTTGTTACTTTTGTTTGCTTATTCTCACTTACATGGGGATAGCCTTGGTCTTTGACTTGGAAGCCCCATTAAGGTAAATAAGAGTTATTAATAATGTGTTGTTTGTATTGAAATATTAATTTATCTTTAAGTAAAAGCATGAGTCTGCATTTATATTATTGAATTTATAAACGGAAATCTCATATTTCTGCGTTTGCTTGTTTTACCTGACTGACATGTATGAGGTACTCAGTACTCTCAGCTTCAAAACTTAGTTTCTGAGTTCTGCTTTCCTTTGTATAACATTCCTGGGGCCATGCTTGGCACCTAGAATAGGACTCCAGTACTGCTGTTGGCCCTGCATTCCAGCATCTCTCCAGGACTGACTGAAGGGTAGGGGAGATGGCAATTACTTCAGTCCTCTGTGCCATCTTTACTTAGTGTGCCTTTTCCTTTTGAGGTCAAGTCAATCAACTGAAAACATTTTATAAGTACGGTGTTCCCTTCTTTTCCAATGAAAAACTAAAAAATGTTTTAATGTGTTTCTTCAGGCATCTCACTGAGGTAGAAAATGCAGCACTTGGAAAGAGAAGCACATTTTCATTTTAAGCAGATGTCTGTCTTAATAAGTGACCTTGGTTAGAATTATCAACATTCTGCTGAATTATTACCCAGAATTAACAGTCTACACCGCAGGACTTTATTTTTTTTAAAGCAAGAACCTAAACACTCCTTGCTATTGCTGGTGTTTAAATAAGAAATTTGTTGATAAAATAGTATCATTGAGAAGGCAAAGAAATAACGAGGAGGTAATTTTATGTATCAGAAGAACCAAGTAGCTAGTGATGTATTTGAGAACAAAAGATATTCCTTCTCATCAAATATAAGTTGTTACAATTTTCAGTTCTTTGGCTCTTACAAATGTGCAGTAATTTTTAAAGACTAAAGTAGGATGAGGTTTTTTGGTCTCTTTGGGAGTCTTTTTTTTTTTTTTCATTGCTGAATAAGTGAGGAGTATATTTTAATACGTTAAATTTTAATTGTTACATCATATTGGATGAGTTTTTTTGTGGCAGAGCGCCCAAATCTTGAAAATAAATTTGAATTATAACCATCATTACCATTTTTCTATTGTTACAGAAGAGTAATAAATGTTGATAATCCCTAAATGTAATTGGAGTGAATTCGTTATCTAATTTGTTCTTGAAAGCTGATGGATGAAGTATCTTCTTTCGTCCTCTCCAAAGAGCTCTTTAAGCTTAACTCTTTCTTTCCCTGTGTATATTTTTCCCCCTTTAGAACATCAGGAGAAGTGAATTGTCAATATGTAGAAAAAGTGACACAGTAAATGAATAATTCAATTTAATTTCAGTAAAAATCCATCATTGTTATGAAGGTTCAATACGTGATAACTATTTTTAAATGAACTATATCTGGCCCCTTAAAGAGAAGTGGCCACCAGAGAGAATAGAAATGAATTTCAGATGAAGCATTCTTGCATTATCTATTCAAATATCCACCATCTCCTCCATTACATATGCACTTTTACTTTGCTCTAAAAATTCAGAGTAAATCAGAGGAAAGTAAAATGTAAACTCTGATTTCTATAGCTCTTTGTCAGTTGATTGTTATAGAGCTATATACTGAAGCAAAATATGCTCCCTATCTTCTCTTCCTGCTGCTATCTTCCCATGGCGCAATTTTAGCCATTGTGTTCACAATATGATTCCAAAGAATTAATACCAACAATTCGGCTGGGTGCAGTGGCTCACACCTGTAATCCCAGCCTCCTTTGGGAGGCTGAGGTGGGGAGATCATTTGCGGCCAGGAGTTTGAGACCGCCTGGGCAACATGGCAAAACCCTGTCTCTACTAAAAAATAAAAATAAATTGGCTGAGCGTGATGATGCATACTTGCAATCCCAGCTACTTGGGAGGCTAAGGCATGGGAATTGCTGGAACCTGATAGGCGGAGGTTGCAGTAAGCCAAGATCGTGCCACTGCACTCCAGCCTTTGCAACACACAGACACACATGCACAACAAAACAAAAAAAGCCCCAACAACTGAAGCATACTTTTCTAGTGAGTAGTACCCTTTACAAACACATTAAAATACTGTGCTTGTCATGTACCCGAGGCCTTTGCTAAAGTCATTTTTTGCAGTGTCAGAGGACCAGAATTTTGTTCTTGGCAGTGGTGAAATAGTACCGCAGGCTCTAGTTCTTTGAATGTTCCTGTCAGAATTATAATGGAATTACTGAAAGTTTAATAGTTTTTCTTCTTTTATGGGCTGTAGCTTATTTTTAAATAAGGAAATTTTCCGTTACAGAAGCAAAAATGTGATATTAAATACTATCAACAAATAATGAAGTCATTGAGACTGCTATATGTTTTGCCTTGGCACATACTTCTTTTTTTACTTCAAAAACTTGACCAGGTTCTATTGAATTCTTCCACAGAGTTAAGTTAATTTTACATAAGTGTTTAGGATATCAACAATTTTGGTGGCCCTTGTAATTCTTGGTTATAGTTTACAAAAAGAGACTGTGTTCCTTCAGATATTTACTTCTACATTTTAAAATAAGGAGTATCTTGATGTTATTACTGATAATTTTTCCAGAAAAGAAAATATATGTTCAAACTTTATTAAATGAGCAGGAATTCTAGTTCCCTCTACCTCTTGAATTACTTTTCATTGGAAAATATTCTCCTTATATGATTTTATTGTGAACTGTCCTTTAGGTCTTGTGATAATGGTCACTGTATACTGAATGGAACACATGGTCCATCTTCAGAGAAGAAATCAAACATCCCTGACTTAGGCATATATTTAAAGGGTACGTATAGAATATAATTTCCTTTGTGATGTACATCTTAATGGTCAGAATTTAAAGGCAAAATTTCATGCCATTGTACTGAAAATACATTAAGGTTTTGTGTTATCCTCTAGGAGATGTTTTTGATTCAGCCTCTGATCCAGTGCCATTACCACCTGCCAGGCCTCCAACTCGGGACAATCCAAAGCATGGTTCTTCACTCAACAGGACGCCCTCTGATTATGATCTTCTCATCCCTCCATTAGGTTGAAACCTTTAAAAACATTTTCAACAACCCACCTCTCCTTCTTCTCTTAATTTCAGAATTTTCAGAATTCAGAGTTCACTATAACACAGACTCACTGGGTTGTGAATGTGCCTGAAATTAGAATGGTTTCTCCAGGGATGGTGACTCCCAAGTTCACGAGAACATTACTCCATGTAGATGGTTTTAAGCAAGTTGTTTTGTCCATACTAAATGTAGTCTAAAAACACATGAGAGCTTTGTGCTCTAGTAGTTTTGAAGTGATGACTTGAAGTGTTCAGATTTTCTTTAAGTATAATAATTCTTAATGAATATGAACTTGCTTTTCTTGTAGCATGAGCAGTTCCACTTATGCTAATTAAATTATGCAAAATTAAATAGTTATAAGTAGAGAACTGATAATAAATTCTGTTTTATTCTAATCATTACAACTATGACACATTCAAAAAAAACTCAATTTCCTTGTTTCAAATTATAATATGAAGAAACATCCTATGTGTATTTGTGTGTATCCACAGGTGAAGGTACACGTAGGTATGTATGTATGTTGAAGTTGACTGGTGCCAGTGTCACTGTTAATTTCATTAATTAGGAAGCATCTCATCCTGTTTTTAGAAGACAGTTAGAATGTCTGCACACCTTACATAAGGCTTCACAATAACAAGTCATTGTAACATAAAATAATATCTGAAGAAAATCAATTTACAAGCTTTTCTGAATTGGCTGTTAGGCCACCAGAAATACGAAATGAACCCTTCCATTTTCTCACAAGTACCACTGACTAGTATTTTGAATGACACAATAGCAGTATCTTTTGCTCCTGTTCACTCTATAGTTCAGGACTGTATTCCCATCTACATCGATTACAAAAGCCTCCTAACTTTCTTACCTACAGTCTTTCTCTCCCTTCCACTTCTTTCTGCACACTGGTTTTAGACATATTACCCAGATCTTCATTACCTGGATAAGCATTGTTCAATAAAGCTTTCTATGGTGATGTAAAGGATCTGTATATTTGCATATGGGTTAAATGTGGTTATGGAACTGACTTTTCACTAAATTTAAATAGCTATATGTGGATGGGTGACTACTTTATAAGACAAAGAAGATAGATTCTCCAACCTGTCTTTTTACGTTGGCCTTTTTCTAGGTCTTCTTGTGCATGTCATTTTTTCTTCATACTATTTAGTCTACTTAGACGATCCTGCCCTTGCATTTGACAAATAAATTTTTGAGCCTTCTGATATCCCAGTACTTTCTGTTCTTCAATACTTCACTGAATACTGCTTGTCTACATTTCTCTTTCTTCATCCAATGCATATGTCTCTTTTATGGGACCAATCGAACACTTTCACCTGTAACTCATACCTATTTGTGAGCTTTTTCTTAAGCTCCTTTCATGGAATCTCAGCTCCTTGAGTCAGAGCCTTGTAATTTTGATTTTCATACCATGCATGACCCTGGCATGGTGCCTGATGTTTAAGGGCTGAAAAAAGATTTGAATAAATATGATAATGTGGGAAATAGCCAGCTAAAAGTTAAAATGATAGCAAAACTCTCCCCTGCATCTTCAGATATGTTAATAAGAAAAATATGATGATTGAAGAAATTATTCTGCAAATTTTTTCTAAAGCAAGTTCAGTAAACAGTAATATCTTTTTTTTTTTTTTTTTTTTTTGAGACATAGTCTTGCTCTGTCGCCAGGCTGGAGTGCAGTGGCACAATCGCAGCTCACTGCAAGCTCCGCCTCCCGGGATCATGCCATTCTCCTGCCTCAGCCTCCAGAGTAGCTGGGATTACAGGTGTGCCCCACCACCAAGCCCAGCTAATATTTTATATTTTATACAAATAAAAGACAGGGTTTCACCATGTTGGCCAGGATGGTCTAGATCTCCTGACCTCATGATCCACGCACCTCGGCCTCCCAAAATGTTAAGATTACAGGCGTGAGCCACGACATCCAGCCTCATTTTTCTTTAAATATTCCATTATGTTTAACTCATTCAACTTAAAAACATGAATTTTTATTATTAGAATATGTGTTTGTGTATACACTGTCTCATAAAGTATTTTGAGATAGCTTACAAAATTACATATGCTTTTTTTTTTTTTTAAAGACTCAAGGTAATGAAAACTGTGAGTAGAATAGTAAGGTGTGACAGGGGACAAATAAGTAGATATAAAAATATGCTGCAACATTCTAGTTATTAAAGCTGGGAAATATGCAAATGTAAGTAGTGTTTGGAACCAGAGAAGTTTCTATATTTAGCTGTTCTTCTGTAGCTAAATCCGATAAATTGAAAAATATATTCCTCTGCTCTAGGTACATTTTATATATATTTTGACAGCATATCAAATATATGAAACATTAGGTTAAATAAATTAAAATCCAGTGGAATAAACTATATGGGATAATCTAAACTATTCTGTGACATTAAATTATATGTATTTGATGTGATTTTCCAATTAAAGGCTGCGAACTCTTTTTGTTACACAGAAAATCCTGTTTTCATGGTGTGACTGATAATAATTTTTAGTTCAAACTCTGAGTCTTAATATTATAAAGGTTACAAGTGAACTATGAGCTGTTTCATAAGTTACAATGCTGGTTTTTACAAAAAGGCCTGATAGAAAAAGTTTGCATTGGTGTGTTTATATGTATGTGTATGTGTATGTATGTATGTTTGTATGTATATGCGTGTGTGTGTTTCTCTCCAGAATCTCCCACAAAATAATGAGATCCCGTTATCAAAGTTGGTGAACTGCTGGATAAACCCTGCGAGTGAAATTCTTTATAAGCAGCAAGAGAAAATCAGTTATTACTTTTGTTTGATGCTGTGTATTTTGATTAATGAAGTTCTGCTGCTGATATCAACCTTTCTTTAAATGCAGGTGAAGATGCTTTTGATGCCCTCCCTCCATCTCTCCCACCTCCCCCACCTCCTGCAAGGCATAGTCTCATTGAACATTCAAAACCTCCTGGCTCCAGTAGCCGGCCATCCTCAGGACAGGATCTTTTTCTTCTTCCTTCAGGTAGGAGGGAAAAGCCAAAGAAAACTATTCACTTAAAGCAAAAATATTTCCAAAACCGTACTATCAAATAAATGCTAGTGATTCATTAGTCTCTACCTTCCTAACAGAACAGAAAAATTCCTGGGTTGTAAAAGTAGCAATTGTGGGTACATTTGTTTGTCAGTTGATTGGTCTAATGCCAACAGAATTAGAGAGATGGAAAGAGCAATAAAGAACTGCAGAATGTAGAAATGATGCTATAGAGATTGTCCAGTCCAGAAACCTCCTTATGTTACAAAATGCGACCCTGAGAACCAGAACTGCTAAGGAGTTAAGCTGATAGTAATGGGAACATATTTAGACTTTGTCTCCTGATTCCCAATGCAATGTTTTTTAATAAGTTTTTAAAATTTTACTAGATATGCCTTAGTGTCATAATTTTGTTCGAAACATAAGATTTTGGTAAATTACATTGTTATAACATGAATAGAGAAGTTTTTCTGAAATAGCTGCATTTTATTTTTTTGTGATATTTTTAATGCCTCGGTGTGTATCTACTCACTAATTATTGGTATTCAAAGGAAAACTAATTTTTTCTTAGTAACTATTTAATGCTATTTAATATTTATTTATATATTTATATATTATATATTATATAGTTTAATATTAGTAAACTAATTTTTTATATTAGTATATTTTAAAATTTCAAAAGAGGATCTGAAATAAAAATGAAAACTTAATAAACCATCTGCTGCATTAGTTAGAATTATCAGGAAAAAGAAAATAAATTGTTATGTGGAATCTGCTGATACTAATTAACAGTTCCAGTCTGTCCTGTTAGTGATACTGTGCCCTGAAACCTTTGCCTCCTGGACTTGGTTTGGGAAAATATAGGGTAAAGATATTCTTGTTTTCATGAGTTCCTTACATTTCTACATGAGATAAATCATGAAAATCTTTAAAAAGTGCTCAGTTTGTCCTTTAGCTACGTATATGCCTCATGGAAACTTGAGAATCTTTATTCCCAACTGATTCCCTTAGCAGTTTCCTCAGTTGATTATTAGTCATGTCTACCATTAGTTTTTCTTAGTGTTTTTTTTCTTTACTTGGTTTGATAGTTTAGAAAGTTTGAAGAGTTTTGATAAGACACACAAGTTACGGACATACAACTTGAATACACAGCTTCACTTTCTTAAAGTGGTTTATTTTTCAAGAATAATCTTCTGCTTAATTTTTCATCAGTAAATATTGATTGAGCCATTCACTGTTTACCCACTTGTGATAGATGCCTCCTGACCTCTGGGACCTCATGAGTTCACTGGATGCTGCCAATTAAAGCACTAGTGTCATAACCCATTCCAGTCCAAGCAGGAAGTATAGTGTATTAGTCCGTTTTCACAGTGCCATAAAGATACTACCCAAGACTGGGTAATTTATAAAGAAAAGAGGTTCCATTGACTCACAGTTCTGCGTGGCTGGGGAGACCTCAGAAAACATACAATCACAGCAGAGGTGAAGGGGAAGCAAGGCACGTCTTACATGGCAGCAGGTGCAAGAGAGAGTGAGCAAGTAGGGGAAATGCCAGACATTCATGAAAAACCAGATCTCATGAGCACTCACTATCATGAGAACAGCATGGGGGAACCACCCCCATGATTCAGTCACCTCCCACCAGTTCCTTTCCTAACACGTGGGGATTACAACCCAAAATGAAATTTGAGTAGGGACACAGAGCCAAACCATATCATAACTGCTTAGGCTTTTATTCATATAGCTACATGTCAACACTGCTATATTTTGCTATTTTTTTTTCACTTATTCAAAACTTTGTCTTATACATAGACTTTAACATAATTTTTAGAACAATGAGTCATTCTAAATCTTAGTTACTTAAACGTCCTGATGCTAAGTTCAGGATAGTTTCTGGCTCTCCTGTCACCTTTTATATATGTAACTTAAGCCCCAGTAGATGAAACTTTGATGTTGTGGCATTTTTGAAAAATAAAGTCAAGCTCTCAAAGAGCTATAATAGAAGAGAATATTTTACACAATTATACACTTTTACCTGTTTTTGTCAAGAGAATTAATTGTAACAGGTTTTATTTATTTTATCTTAATTGTTCATTTCCTTTTATGTAAAAATCTTCATAAAGATACCCCTCAGGATTAACTGCCAAAAAATTACTAGTTTAAAATGAAAATGTCCCCTCTTATTAGCTAAAATGCAAGTTTTATAAACTGTTTTACTTATTTTATAGATTTGCCTGTTTTGTGTTTGCATGGCTGCCAGGGAGCTCAACAACAGTTATCCTTAACTTAGAGTGTCAGGCTAGCATGGGGGTCAGGGCCATGTTCTTCAAGCCTGTTGACTCTCTCTTGACCCTCTTAATACATGGACATACTCTAATTCTGTTCCAAATAATGTTGACATCTCTTACAATAAGTATTTCTAAAAAAAAAAAAACAGGCAACTTTTTTTCTTCCTTTTCCGGTCTTTCATGTCATTTACATGACAGATTTCTAGTCTGGTACCAGATCCTTTATGACTTTTTTTTGTTTGTTTGGGGGACAGGGTCTCACTCTGTTGCCCAGGCTGGTGTGCAGTGGTGCGATCTCAGTTCACTGCAACCTCTGCCTCCAAGATTCAAGTGATTCTCCTGCCTCCGCCCCCTAAGTCGCTGGGATTATAGGTGTGCAACACTACACTCTGCTAATTTTTTATATTTTTAGTAGAGATGGGGTTTCACCCTGTTTGCCAGGCTAGTCTCAAACTCCTGGCCTTATGTGATCCCCTCGCCTCAGCCTCCCAAAATGCTAGGATTACAGACGTCAGCCACCCAGCGCCTTTATGTCTTTCATTGTGACAATTATTTTGATTCAATTATTTTGATTGATTAAAGCCATGTATATTAACTTTCCTCCTTTTCAAAAGAAATATTTTAATATTTTAATGCTGTTACATAGTATCATAGAGCATAAAAGTTTTTTTGGCTGATAAATGAGCATTTGAGTATTGTTTTGCAAAGTATTTAATACATTATACTATCTAAAAAAATGTAAAAGATTCTCGATAGCAGTTCTTCTCCTTAAGAATTGACTTTATTAAGAATATGCTACAAATGCTAAAGTTTAACTCAGTAGTTTTAGAACTATAAAAGGTAAATAAAAGGGACTGCTAAATTTAACCAACTCTGTGAGCATTTTGCTGTTGTTTTCATTGTTCAGTCTGTGAAATCTTAGTCTGGTGTAATGGTACATGTTTTCTAAACATTATTGAGATTTGTTCCTGAGGAAGTAATTATTTCTAATTAAAGACAAATGATAGGTGTCTTAGGAAAAGAGGTTGAATTTTCTTATGATATTATACTAAGTACCTAATCAAGCCTACACTTTTATTCCAACATTCAGTGCCCTGCACAGTTGGGCCAGGTTCAGCTTTTCAGCCTTATAGCTCATTGACTTCTATATAGTAGTGATTGTCAAACTGCAGTGTCCTATGTCTCTGCAAAAGAGCCTCAGGACTCTTGTAGAATCAAGGGGGCAGGGCAAGCAGAGCCAGGGCGCTCGTTCTTCTTTTATCTCTTTTCCTATTTTAGGCTTTCATACAAGATTTCTTTTGGCAGAATAGTAATGCCTACAGCTGTACATGAGCCATCAATTTTGGACAGGCCAATCATTTCTTAACAAAACCTGAAGTCCTCAACCAAAGCTTTACACTTTTTTGTCTCCAATCCCAAGGCTACCACTAGTGTGTATGTGCTTTTTTCCATATTACAAAAAAGTACTTCCTTTTGCTGGTGAATTGAAGTAGACACCCCTCTGTCTACTTTGTGCCAGGCCAGGACTCAAGAAACAAAACAAAGGTTGTATTTAAGTCCTTCTCATAACCATAACTAGGTGTGCTTGTGCAGTGCACAAATACAGTGTTTGTCAGTCCTTATGCTACCTTTCTTTTGCTGTTTCTCTAACCTGTAATCTCATTTGAAGATCTTATCTAAAGTCACAGTTAAACTCTGAAAGCTAGCCAAATTGACTTTATTAAAGATAAATGAAAGTTTTATTCTTGGATCCAGAAATGCATGAGTAAAATATGAAGAAAATCCAGATCACTAGCAACAATTGTTGAAAAGGTTTTAGGGGTTTGGTTGACTACAGTCTTTATAAAGCATCATCATGATAAGGAAGCTCATGCCATTTGGGACTTGAACTTGCAGAATTCAAATCTGAGGAGTGAAGTCCTCCACAGCGCTCAGCGTTTGTGGAGACCAGGCAGATGTTGAAGCGTTAATGGGCTAGAGAAGCGGTTCTCAAATGGTGTTCTCCAGATTCACAACATTAGCATCTCCTGGGGATTTGCTTTAAAATGAAAATTCAAGACTTAATACATCAGAAACCCTGGGAATGGGACCCAGTGGTCACAAGCCTTCCTGGTGATTCTGATGCATATTCAAGTTTGAAATATGCTGGGCTGGGGTATTCTCAAAAGAGTGCAACCAGATGATAAAGTAAACTAGAGTGGATTAAAAGAACTGAGAATTGGCTCAGAGAAGAGAAGACCTTGGATGTAGATGAGAGTTGTCTTTGGTTACAGTATTTGGGAAAGAAGGATTATATTTCTTCCATGTCACTTCAGAAGGTAGGAGTAAGATCAATGGGAAATGTTAAGAATGAAAATTGCATTCATCCTACAAAGAAGTTTCCTAAATCATTACGAATTGTTCTACCTGAGTGTAGTGAGTTATCTGACACTGGAGGATTTAAACCAATGGTAGATCATTACATACTAAGATAAGAAAGTGAGCTAAAGCATGAGGGCAGCAAAGAGGGGAGAACTTTGTTTCACCTAAATGGCTCTTCAAACCTTTTCTAGCAATTAGTTTCTGCTTTGATATACTCTATTAAAATTTGGGGGATAATTGATAAATTTTCCAGGTGGTTTATGGACAGCCAGGGAGGAAATTTGCCATCGTTTTAAATGTTTAATTTTATTTGCCTCTGTTTTTACACTTAGTAAAAATTTGGAAAATATTTCAGATAGTGAAGAAAAAAAAAAAAATTAAGAAAAACATTCCGGGCCGTGTATGGTGGCTCATGCCTGTAATCCCAGCACTTTGGGAGGCTGAGGCAGGCAGATTGCTTGAGCTCAGGAATTTGAGACCAGTCTGGCCAACATGGCGAACCTCCGACTCTACAAAAATATAAAAATTAGCTGGGTTGGTGGCTCGTGCCTGTAGTCTCAACTACTTGGGAGGACAAGGCAAGAGAACAGCTTGTGCCCAGGAGGCGGAGGTTGCAGTGAGTCAAGATTGCACCACTCCACTCCAGCCTGGGTGACAGAGCAAGACTCTCTCAAAAAAACGAACAAACAAAAAAACCCATACTTCCTCCTACTAAAGATAATCATTGTTATGTATCCTTCTTTATTTTTTTGTTTTTGTTTTTGCCTATGAGTATGTATGTTCACATTTATGTAAAATTTATTTCTCATAGTACATGCTGTTTATAACGATTTTCCAGTTAATATGTTATGAGCATTATATATAATTATTAAATATTTGTATGCAATATAATTTTTATTGATGTATATTTCATTTTTTAAGTAGCAAACCATTTCCTCCCAGTGTTCCCTTAGTTTTTTATAATCTCCCAAATAAGTATTAAATTTTCAGTTTTGCAGTGCTATACTATAAATCACAGGCAGTACTACTTTGCTTTTTGGAACAGATTAATATCTTTGTATGTATCCATTTATTTCTCAAACACTTATTACTATATAAATGATAAATTGACTGTGATAATTTCAGTTTGTTTTAATCCTGTGGATATAATATTTTTCTGTAGTTTTGGAAGTTTTGAAGAATTTATTTTAGAAAAGCATTATTACTTTACAAAATTTTCTTTTCGGGGACAACTGGTAATTACTGTACTCTGTGTAGCAATTGTGTTATATCTAATGTCTTTCCCTTTAAAGCCTGAATGCTTTAACTTTATAATTTGCTTTAGAGAGCCCAGTTTACCCTATGGCTGACAAATAGTAAACTTAGGATATGATGCAAGATAGAAATGATAATGATTCAAAATAGAACCGTAAGCAGGTATTTTTGCTATTTATAATAATATTTTGAGTGTATCTAGTACTTTTAAAATAACATAGTTTAATGGAAGAATATAGTAGAGTGGTATATTTTGTAGTCTATCTATTTATGGCTCTGAAATGTCTCCAGAGTGTACTTTTTAACCTTAAATAGATGATTAGAAATAGCATTAAGTGTATTTGACAAGCCTATAAATTTCCCGTAAAGAAATAAGCAAGTGTATGTATTGTAAATACATTTAATAACATTTAATGTTATATCAGGGGCATTTAGAGTCTACAAGAACCTGAAGTAAATTTTATGAAATATCTAGTTTTTGAAATTTGGGAGATTTCAAAATTTATGCTGAAATCACTGTATTTGTTTCCTTTGGTTTCTCTAACAAACCGAAAGATCAACATTTGTCTCATGTGATTTATCTTCTCATTCCTTCCTAAACATATTTCTGGGAAAATAATGGAGCTGGACCATCAATTCTTCAAATATTGAAAACTCAAAATCTAAGAGTTATTTTAATCTTGAAATTAATGAAAACAAGTTAAAGAACCTTGTCTAAGTCAGAAAGTCCTCAACAAAGCTGGTGATAATTATTATACTGCAAAAAAGGTGAAAAGATAATGGCTTCAAATCCTGCCTTACATTATCCAGTCAAAACCTAATATAAAAATAGGCAATATTTAAGCATATGTTTTCATCTTAAATAATCAAGTACTTACATATTATTAATGTCTAATGGGAGTGGAAGTTAAAACAGTGAAATTCAATCAGGTCTTCTTTAATATTTACAATTTTTGCTTTACATTAGCAATTCAGGTTTCACTGATTTTGAATTTGTGAACAATCTGAATTTGTGTGGATTTATTTGTGGTAGTTAAAAGTAAATATTAAGTGCAAGCTATTTGCCAAGAGTGTTCTAGGTGCTATGTTTGAGTTAGGAGGTAGAATTCAAACATGAAGAGTAAGACAAGATCCCGGAGATCCCTGTTCTCAGAAGAATTGATGGTGCTTTCAGAGATACCGACAACATGAAAGTACTATGAGAGGAAAGCAGCAGAGCCTGAGGTGGCAATGATAGTTAGATAAATTATTAGTGAACCGAGGTTTTCAGATATAATGTTCTTCTACTCAAAAAGGGAATCAATTCTCTAAGAATTTAAACCCATGTAATACTATGAATGTTAAACCAGTTGGATTTATGGTGTTAATGATTTAATACAGCAACATTGACAAAATCTCTTTTTCTCCCTTTAGTTCCAGTTAGTAAATACCATATTTTTTACTATTTCAGATGCCCTGTCTCTGACTGCCAAGGTGGTAAATTATCACATTTTACTGTATATTCAAATGTTAATTACTAAATGGCATAATTTTAACAATTAAATTGACTATTTTGTGAGCCAACTAACAACAATGATGTTAAGCATAGGATGCCCAATGTAAAATAAGCACCTTGTATGTACAGAAGATTTTACACAACTTCATTTAATCCACACACATCCAGAGTTTCAGGTCTGTTTTACAAATCTTGTGTGCCCAGTGCCTAGAGAGATCAAGTAATTTGATAATACTCTTACAGGGAGGATCCAAACCCATGGTTTTATGTATGTATGTTTGTTTTTTGCTTTTACTTTAGAACTTCTATATTGTACAGGTTGGATTGGGACAGAAAATGAAATTTAGAAACTCTTTTTACTGTCAACAATCTTATAATTAAACAAGATATCTGCAAAATATAAATATAAAACAAGTAGTCTGTATTTTCTGGAAATAAATGTGAAGAGCATATTTAAGCAAGTGATGAAGAAATTTGAAAATATGCAGGCAGTAAAAAACGGTTAATATCAGTCATGAACTTAATTTTCTAATTTATTTTTGAAAGCCATAATCTTCATGAAATAATTCTAGAATTTTTTTCTTCAGCCAGTCAACAGAGATCATCCTTTTAATTTGAAATTTGTTTTTATTTTTAAGATCCCTTTGTTGATCTAGCAAGTGGCCAAGTTCCTTTGCCTCCCGCTAGAAGGTTGCCAGGTGAAAATACCAAAACTAACAGAACATCACAGGACTATGATCAGCTTCCTTCGTGTTCAGGTGAGTTGGCTAATAACAGTAACAATAATCCCTTATTGTTACATAGTGCTTTTATGCTTTTCAGAGCACCTTCTTATTCATTATATAATTTAATGAATGTTGTCCACCTAAGAAAGTATTTTGATCATCTTTGCATTTTGCTTATGAAGCTTGCATTGTGAGAGGAATGGCTACAAAACTGCCTCATGGAAAAGAAAAATGTCAAGCTTAATATTATCTTTGATCACTCAGTGGAGCCACTTCGTTGATTCAGAATGTATTCATTATCTAACTTTCATTTTGTCTTAGATTTGGGAAATGGGGAAAATCTCTTTGTACATTGAAATGCTGTTTTATGGAAATCTCTGTGGAATTAATACTGGCACCAAACTATTCATTTTCTTAGCTTATTTAGGCCTCCAACCAGTGTTCCACTGACAGCCATCAAATAGAAGGATGTACCATTTTCATAAATACAAGTCATACTCATAACTATTAATAACAGAATGCTGCTTCTTTGCTTCTCGAGGAGGCTTTCCCTGAACATATCTAAGTAGCCCCTATCTTCTGCCGTCATTTTCTTTCCTTTTTTGCTTTTTCTTCATAGCACCCATCACTACCTAAAATTTTGTTATTCAAAAGTCATTTGCTTGACTGTTGGTTATCTTTCTCGTCTGCTCAAGTATTAACACTTTGAAGATAAGAATGTTGTTTGGTTCACTGCTTGTCCTAGTCAGTTCAGGCTATTATAACAGAATACCATAGATTGGACTGCCTAAACGGCAAACATATATGTCTCACAGTTCTGGAAGCTGGGAAGTCCAAGATCCAAGAAGTACCAACATTCAGTGTCTAGTGAGGACCCTCTTCCGGGTTCATAGATAACTGCCTTCATACTGTGTCCTCACAAGGGCAAAGGAGTACTCTGGGATCTGTTTTATAAGGAAACCAATCCCTTTCATGAGGGCTTCACCTGCATAATCTAATCATCTCCCAAAGGCCTACTGAGGTGTCCAACAGAGTACCGAGCATGTGTTTCTTAGATGAATAGTTGGGGATGGATGGATGGATGGATGGATGGATGGATGGATGGATGGATGGATGGATGAATGAATGGATTTGAGTGGGCAAATAGGCAAAAGGAGGGAAGAATAGCCGATGTCTGTATTAAACTCAACACACATATCTGATAAGCACAATTTTTGTCTCATATTTGTGAATATCAGAAGTTTTCCTATATGAACTTTTGTCTTATTTCAAAATTTTTTTAAGCTGAAACCTCGATTGATAGCAGATTTGCTAATAGTAATAGCAATACATTCTGAAACTTCTGAATCAAGATAATTAATGAGCTGTTTTAAGAATTGTCAGTATGGTAGTTCTTATGTGCTCGATGCCATGCTTGGGAGATGCAGAAATCCCTGTGTAGTTTTATATGTTTAAATGCTTGCATATAACTCAGGAAAGCATAGAAAATCTTTTTAATCTTTTCAAATTTTGTCCGGTGTTCTCTTACCAGTTTGTTTCTAGTCATTCTAGGGTTTCATATATATCCATGATTAGCCTGAAATTCCAGTCAAAATAATTTGATGACAAAACATGAAAATCAAGAAAGAAAGACAGTATCTGACAGCTTCTGTATAACATAAGGAAGCATTTTTTTTTTTAAGAAAATAGCGTTAAAATATAACTTCAAGCAAAGTGCTATGACTGATTTAAAATAACATATTCAGTACCACCAGCTCTGGATTAAAAGAAACGTACACTTTAGTTATGGGAAAAGTTGTGGCCAAAACACAGTGTTTTCACAGCTTCTTTACAGTTTGCTGCATCATAAGTGGGTGTTGTAGAGCCCAGAGGAACATCATTCACATATATGATTTCAAGCAGTGTGAATCCCGATTAGCATTACACTAGAAATGTCTGGAAGAACTTCAAATCACAAACCTTGTTGAAATATCCCCGAATAGCCATTTGCCAGAAGCCTGAACTGGTTTTTACCTAAGTAATAAAAGAATCCTGACTATTACTCTGAGGGCCCCAGCTAGCTGTGACATCAAATATTTCAGTCTACTCCCTAAATTCTCTTTACAAACACAGTCAACCACAGAAAATATGATACTTTTTTCCAACAGATGTTTGTTTACATGAAGCTCACAAGCCTACCAGGCTGTTGACTAGTTTATTTCACATCAGCAGAGAGACTGAGCTTGCCTTCTAGATAAGGTCTTTCCATTCAGCCCTTGAGACTGAATGCATATATGCCTTTAGGATTCTAATAGCTCTTATTTTGCAGTAATTAATCTGTTTTTATTAAGGCCATTTTAAGATGACCATTTAAGATACCAGGGGTTCTGGTATGACTGCTATACCTTATGAATTCAACTTCTGTTATCACTTATGGCTGTGTAAATAATTGATAGTGACTTATTTATGGATAGGCTTCTATGGAAAGCATATTTCTAAAGAATTTTAAAATGTAGGTTCATTGATTTTAAAATATCTCCCTTGTTTTATCAAAAAAGTATGTCTGCATGTATACGTATGTCTGCATATATAAAGAGCCTTTTAAATGTTTATTACACCCAAAGGAAAATATTTTATAGTTTTCAGTGTATAATTGAAATTTAAATATATGAACGTATCATAGGTAGCCCAGATATAAGAAGAGCTTACCAGCGCATGTTAAATTCACATAGACCTGTATATAGGACAAATATTTTTGCTAATAATATGCTTGTTTCTCTACATGGTTGTATTATTCACATGGGGCTCATGTCTCTTCTATGTGTGAGGTTTTACAAATTTCCCAGTTTGCTTTCCCTTGTTGTAAGACATACTGTACTACAGTTTGAATACCATTCTTTGAAAACTCTAAAAGGCTTGTGTTAATGAAGTGCACCATTCACCCTTGAGGTGATTTTTCTTATTGTTAGTATGTAGAAGGAAGTTCAAGGTAACACTTGAAAACAATGCTAGATTTTAGCACAACTCACATGTGTTTGAAACCATTAAAAGACCTTATTGCCAAATAAGCCCATCTCATTATAAAATAAAGGAGATCTCATTACAAAATTAATTAATTTCAATACTACTATTAGTTTACTAGCTTAAAGGAGAATTGATGGAATAGTGAATAAATTTTATATTAGGACCAAATATTCAATAGTTTATCTCTGTTATGATCTCAGTTGAAACATGGCTTCACTTGACACAAGGGTTGTAATTTTAAGGTAGATTATATGTCTTTAAGATTTTCTATTTCAACCAAGGAAATGGCAATGTTGCATTCTCCCGCAGTTCAGCTACATGAAATACTGGGGCATACAGACAGCTTCAGTCTGAAAGCCAGAGAACCTAGAGTTGTTTTCCTTACATATCTAATACTAAATAACCATTTTCTGGATATATTTGAAACAGTATATGTGATTTTTTTATTTGTTTGTAATTTAGTTTATTAAATCATGTCCTTCTATAAGTATTTCTTTTTTTCTTTTTTTTTTTTTTTTGAGATGGAGTCTCTCTCCGTTGCACAGGCTGGAGTGCAGTGGCTCAATCTTGGCTCACTGCAACCTCCGCCTCCCGGGTTCAAGCTATTTTCGTGCCTCAGCTTCCTGAGTAGCTGGGATTACAGGCACCCACCATCATGCCCAGCTAATTTTTGTATTTTTAGTAGAGACGGAATTTCACCATGTTGGCCAGGCTAGTCTCGAACTCCTGACCTTGTGATCTGCCCACCTCAGCCTCCTAAAGTGCTGGGATTACAGACTTGAGCCACTGCACGCGACCGGCAGTAATTCAACCTTATGGCATAAAAACGAGTCCCAGAATTAACTGATCCAACTTCTGGTAGAATAACAAAGTTATTATAATGTGTTTGAGATTTCTTTTATTCGTTGATCAATTAAATTTATTTATATTTTTTTCTAATTCTGTTATTGTTATAGTTGAGAAGGTCAGTAGTCTAAGAGTTTTGATGTCTGTTCCAAGAATTGTGGCTGTTTTACTAAGTAGATTTAGAAACTATGTTTCAGATAATATGTACAATATTATTTTATCTAATTAAAATTTGTTAAGTTTGTTAAGCATATACTATAGTCCTGATGCTTTGCTAAGTATCTTAGATACAGATATATAAATTTTATATAAGTTAATATATATAATTGTATTTATATAGTTATACACTAAAATATAAATATTCATGTTATTTTATTTAATAATGTATGTTATCTATAATTATACATTTATATATTTAATATTTTATACAAATATATGGTTACATAATATGGTATATTATACATATAAATATAAACATATTTTTACTGTGTAATATAGAAATAGATATAATTTTATTTCTCATAACCACTTTGAAATAAATATATATATATACACACACACATTTTATATATATATATATATATATTTTTTTTTTTTTTTTTTTTTTCGGAGACAGAGTCTCGCTCTGTCACCCAGGCTGGAGCACAGTGGTGCAATCTTGTCTTACTGCAACCTCCACATCCCAGGTTCAAACAATTCTCCTGTCTCAGCCTCCCAAGTAGCTGGGACTACAGGCAATTATTGTATTTTTAGTAGAGACGGAGTTTCACCATTTTAGTCAGGCTGGTCTTGAACTCCTGACCTCAGGTAATCCACTTGCCTCAGCCTCCTAAAGTGCTGGGATTATAGGCATGAGCCAATGAGCACAGCCTGAAATAGATGTTGTTAATGTCAACTTATAGAAGAAAGAAAGACACCGCAAAGGTTAGTAACTAACTCAAGCTACTGCAGAAAGTATAAGCGTGACAGAATTTAAATCAGTTTCAATTTTTAAAAAATTTGTTAATAAATAAAGTTTATGTTGTGGTCCTATCAGCATGCCAAAATTAAGTTAGAAAAAAATGTACACATGCATGTTACAAGAATTGCTAAACTGAGTTTGGAGATGTTCAGTGGTAAAATCATGATAATAGTGATGGAATAGTTGTGATGACAAAGAAATGGAGGGTTTTAGAAATAGCAAA